TTCTCAATAACCTCTCTGTATATTTCTCCCTCTCAGCCTCTCCATCCACTCTGCAGTTTCCTAACACCTGTTTTATCTACATTTTACATTCACCAGAGTAACATAAATGACACAAACATGGTTTACAGTGGTCGAAGTGGAGCAGCTGGTGCACATATGTGCTGACAGAGTAGCACTTTTCCACTATGACGACAGTATTTTACCCACGTTGTGTCCACACTCATGTTCTTTTCATCATAACCTTTAAGAACATGAGGGTCAAATCAAAGACAAACAGTGAACTGAAGGCTTCACTTTGCCCTTTGGTTCAAAATACAGTACACACAGAACTGCAGCTGCTGATATTAAAGTGCAATCAGATGGTTTTACGTGTAATTTAAGTGTTAAGTGTTTTTTTATGCTTAAAGAGTCTATTGAGTTCTGTGTTGTAGAGGTTGGAAATCGGTATATATATTAGACACTTGTATGCAAGGAGGAGAGATGTTTAGCTTTGTTGACTGTCACCAGTTATTGTTTGGGTTATTTTTAAAAGCATTTATGTCTCACATTCATGACTCCCCAGCTTCGGTCTCTAGGTGGCTTTTACTTTGTTTCTTGAAGTCTCAACAGCATCAAAACAAAAACAGATGCATCACAGTTATTAGCCTAAGTAAAAAAGCCAGATGAATAAACATGAATAAAGTTAGTAGGTTGTGTGGTATTACTTAACATCTTGCCATATAAGAAAACGGAGTTATCTTACCAATAAGTAAGTAAGCATATTGATTGCAAGTTTCCAGCGCTTTTACCAAACGAAAGAGCTTATTAACATCAAAAGTATTAGAATAAGTAAGATGGAAATTTCAAACCAGTGGGTTTTCCAGAATTATTGGGCTTGAACTTGTGCAAACATCAAAATGTTTGATGTTTGCACAAGATCGTTTGCACAAGATTTATTAGTATGTTTATTAGTATATCAAACTAGTGAGCAATCCATTGACCAGTTTAATGACACCAGAACCAACCAACCTGATCAAAATTACAAAACTATGTGAATATCGTCATGAGCTAAGAGCTCAGAATAACAATTACTATGTTAATTATTAATAACAACCTCTTCAGAATCAAATCAACTTGATTGTGATGAGTGTTTGTAGTCATGGATGTCTGCTACATTACTGTACTGTAATGTGTAACAGCGGTTAGCACTAACTGCCTCACATGCTCTGTGGGGCCTCTCTGTGTGGAGTCTGTTTGTTCTCCCTGTTCCTGCTTTGGTTTGCCTCCGGGTGCTATGGATTACTCCCAGTCCCAAAATGTGCATGTTATGTTAACTGGCATTTCTAAAATGACCCCGTGATACTTATAACTTCTCCAGAGTCATCTTGCCCAGTCTCAGCTGGGACGGATGGATGATTTTACCTCATAGCAGGTCATGATCATCTGGTTGAGAAGTGTTGAGACAGAGTAGAAGGAGCCAGTCATTATGCCTGCAGACAGACAGCAAAGGCAAAGGTGAGCACAGTTTTCCTTTAGCTTAAAATTGAAATCATCCATGAGGATTATGACTGAGCTAGAATTGGATGTTTATAATTATAAATAATATCTAATAAGTATAATTCTGAATGCAAACACTCAAAGCAGACATTAAAATAAGAACCAAACAGTAAAAGTAGCATTAGTAGTAGTGATGTACTGTAAATAGATGTTATAGCTCTTCTTTCATTGAACCTCTGAGACCCCAAAAAAAGTTTTTGATATTTAATTTTTTTTATATAATATAAGTATTGTGGTTGAAAGAAATATGTGACAGTAAAAT